CATCCAGACCTCAGATGCAAACCTGGAGTCTTATCCTAGGAGAAAGTAAGACATTCCACCCCCGGCACCCCCTCCTTAGGGGAAAGCCACCATAGCTCGTAAATTGACTCTGGAGAGTTAAGGCATCTTCTCCACTGAAAGGCTTGGAGCAGAGAGAGGAACAAATAGATAAGGTGTCTGATAAAGGACTTTTAGAGTTTAGAAGGAACTCAGGTGGCAAAGAGGCTGCCAGTGGTAATGGTAATGGGGTCTTCTCCAGCAGGCAACCAAATGTCTCAGCTTTGCTTTTCCCTTCCGCTTCAATGGAATGGTCAGCTTAATGCCAGCTGTTATACATGCAGCCAAAGGGTGTATTAGTGAGGCCCCTAGACTGTATCCTGATGGCTGATATGATCTTGCCATTACTTGGCATCCCTGTTCTTGCTCTGATATTGAATTACAGTCCATTTATATAGTGGACTCCACAGTGAGCTCTGTGTCTGGTTTGGGTGGGAAATGTTCTGGGTTTCCCCCTACTGCTGTGAGAGAGGGAGAGTGTGTGTTGGACTAAAAACATCCTATGCATAAAAAATTGTATTTCTGTAAAAATACTTTAATTATCCCCAACTAATAATTGATCCTTGGAGCTTGAGGAAATCTACCTGAAATCTGGGGAAAACCTTATTCCTAGCCACTCCATGCAGCTTTCTTTTCCTCCTCAAGGCCTAGGGAGGCAAAGCAGAACTGGCAACATATCCATGTGCCAAAGGGACTTTGAGCCACTTTAGGAACGGTGACCGCCTCTGCTCACCTGGTTTCTGCCGCTGGGACTCCACAACCGGTTTACAGATGATCCATGTATTCAGTCTGTGAGATCCCTTTCACACCATTAATGTCATCCACAAGGCACTGGTGGCTTATGTAAATTCAGCTCTATGTTCTGATTTTTTTCTAGAGAAAATAAAAAGGATGTAACTAGTCTCCCCTGGGAGTCCTTACTCTTTATTTCACACAAGATTATTTGTCACAGTGCTGAGGAACAAGAGAAAGAAGGGGTTACTCTGGTAGTAGTTGGCACTTGTCATTTGTAAGATCAGTTTAACAAGCCTCTTAACTCCTCTGTGACACAAGAAACCTCTCCATTTCAGAGAAGGGAAATGATGAAAAGAGAAGTTAGGTGACTTTCCCAAAATAACAGATGCAGAGCTGGAGCTAAAACTTGGGCATTCTTTGCTGCTAGTCCTGTGCTATAATCTGCAAGCGGTTGTTGCTTTATATTCCATTGCTGGGCCCGATCATGCTAAAATAAGGCTGATTGACTCTCATGCTTCAGGCTGTAAGCCTGCCAGGGCTCAGAAAGGGCTTTTCACTCCATGTCCAGTATTGTATGACTGGCTGAGAGCTTTACGCTGGGGGGTTTCGGTAGAATGAAGCATCAAGGAGAGCCAACTGCTGGAGTCTTGATTCAACACAACATAGATCAGTCACAGGTTTTGCTGTGGCATTGTGGATGAACATGGCTCTAGAACAGGGGTTCTCAAACTTCATTGCACCGCAACCCCCTTCTGACAATAAAAATTACTACATGACCCCGGGAGGGAGGACTGAAGCCTGAGTCCCAACATGCAGGACTAAAACCCTCTGGCCTCGGGTGAAGAGGCTCGGGCTTCAGCCCTGGGCCCCAGCAAGTCTAAGCCAGCCTTGGCGACCCCATTAAAATGGGGTTGTGACCCACTTTGGGGTCCCGACCCACAGTTTGAGAATCGCTGCTCTAGAAGAGAAGGAAGCTGTTTGTTCATCCTGGCTATCTGTACATTGAATACTAGTGCTGTTTGAGTTTGATCCTGCTCTCAGGGTGCACCTTTAGTGTGAGGGGACTATCAGGTGCTTAAGGAGTGCAGGGCCTTATGTTTGCTGGGAGCTGTTATACACAATGGATTGAATCTATCCCTGGGCTGAGTAGAACACAGTCATAGCTGTGGGTACTATTAGATTTTAAATTTTACTAAAGCTAATGTTAAAATTATGTAATACACAGGTTGAGAAAAAAGTGTCTGTACATCTGGGTACAGTGCTTAGATTATCCACAAATACAAAGTTTGTTTTTAAAAGTCATATGATACATAGAATGCACAATCAGTAATAACCCAAATTTAGGTGAATAAATTTAAGAATACAGTTTAGGCATTAGCATCCAAGTAGTCAGGTACGTCACTCATGAAAAGTTGTACAGAGATTTGGTTGTGGAAAGCAAAATCTATCAAGGAGTGGAGATTGTCCCTCAGTAGTTGAGAATTAGGGTAGGTTGTCCATTTAGAAAACACAATCCATGAGGAAAGTATTTGAGTTACTTTTCCCACTGTGCTTCTCATCGGCACTCTAGCTCATCCCTCCTGATATTGCCGATGTCTGATGATGTGTTCTGTGTAGGTGTCCGTCGAACATCTGATGGCATCCAACACTATGAGTTGCCACATCAGCTGAGCATAGCGTTGATTAATTCCGCATTCTCTCAACACTCGCTCCTTACTGGGGTCCAATGCGCCCAAATTGTCTGCACCTGGTAACCTCTAGCTCTCAAGGTTTCGGCCAGAGGGGTGTATTTCTCCACCTTATGAACTTGGGCATCACGGAAGGCCAGAGTCCTGTTCTCAAAAGACACTGATGTCCACCATGATGATCTTCCGGTCCTCATTGGTGATGATGATGTCCGGTTGTAGTTGGCTGTCGGTTCCGGAGATGGTGGAGTTCACAGCAACCTTCCCTACGGGTGATGGGATGACCAGGTGATCTTGGATGGCATTGTGTTGCAGCTGCCAGGCTCTGGAATGGGGCTTGCAGCTACACAGGACGTGGGGTAATGTCACTGGCTTAGCTGCACTTCCTACATCGCTTGTCCCAATTCTTATGGTGGACGGCGCCGTTCAGCGGAACACAGTTGAGCCAGGCCTTGTGGATGAACCTCCAGTCAGCAAATCGGATGAAGCTGCCCCCGGGGAGGAAGTGGTTGCTGGCATCCCACTTGCAAGTCATCTCTAATGCCTTGCCCTGGTCTGGCTTCCGTTTTAGGTTTTCCACATACTGGCAGTGGATGGCATCTTTCAGGGTCCTCTCCACTAACCTGCTACCTAAATGCTTGTCTTTCGCTGAAGAGCAGGAAACTACGTAAGAACGGCCACACTGGGTCAGACCAAAGGTCCATCTGGCATCCTGTCTTCTGACCATGGCCAATACCCGGTGCCCCAGAGGGAATGAACAGAACAGGAGGTCATCAAGTGATCCATCCCCTGTCGCCAATTCCCAGCTTCTGGCAAACAGAGGCTAGGGACGCCATCCCAGCCCATCCTGGCTAATAGCCCTTGATGGACCTGTCCTCCATGAATTTATCTAGTTCTTTTTTGAACACTGTTATAGTCTTGGCCTTCATAACATCTTCTGGCAAGAAGTTCCACAGGTTGACTGTGCATTGTGTGAAAAAAATACTTCCTTTTGTTTTAAACCTGCTACCTATTAATTTCATTGGTGCCTCCTAGTCCTTGTGTTATGAGTAAATAACACTTCCTTATTTACTTTCTCCACACCAGTCATGATTTTATAGACCTCTATCATATCCGCCCTTAGTCGTCTCTTTTCCAAGCTGAAAAGCCCCAGTCTTATTAATCGCTCCTCATATGGAAGCCGTTCCATACCCATAATAATTTTTGTTGCCCTTTTCTGAACCTTTTTCCAATGCCAATATATCTTTTTTTGAAACGGAAGGGAAGGAGGAGTTCACCCTCCGTTTACTTTTACTCAAGAGAAAATAAAACTCTGAGATGGTTTGAGGGGTGGGATTTTGGACTCCAATTAGTTGTCCCATTTCATAATGGCTTAATTTTCAGATTGCAGCTTTCAGTGCTGACATACACCCTGTCTTTGTGAATAGATCGCTCCACTTGCCGTTGCTATGCAGCCACTTCTGGGGTGGCGTAAGACAGCTATCTAATAGTGTGCCCCAAAACTATAGGCACATGGCTGCAGTGACTAAGACAGCTAGGAGACAAAGGGAATCCCTTTGTTGAGTTTGCCTACAGAGAAAGGCAGAAGTGGGACTTTTCTAGCACTTCTCTAGGTACCACAGCAGGAAAAATCTACAAGGAGAGAAAAAGGGTGTATTGCCATCTCGGCCACGAGCTCTTCTTCTACCTGCATCTGTGGGCGCCAGGCCCAGACGGGGCTCCTGACCCTCAAGGTGTCCTCCCCAACCCTGGTTATGACTTGCTAGGAATGCAGTCTGGCGGTCCCTGCTGAAGAAAGCCAGGCAGGCGGAAACAAGGAGGCGTCCTTGTGGCACCTTAGAAACTAACCAATTTATTGGGGCGTAAGCTTTCGTGGGCTAAAACCCACTTCCTCAGATGCATGGAGCGGAAAACACAGTCGCGGGGGGGGGGGGGTGGTGTGTAACAGTGTGGGGGAAATTAGTTTACGCGATGACCCATCCCTCCGCTCCCAGTCGCTAGTCAGGCCTAACTGGAGGGCGCCCCGTGCGCAAACGGAGGCCAGCTCGGCAGGTCCTGGGGGGGGGGCGTCTGTCTGGGGGCTGGTTTTTTTCCGGCTGAGGAAGGGCCGCTTTTAAGCCCGCTACGGAGGGGCCAGGGGGGCTGCGGTGCTCTCTGCGGGGCCAGGCTGGAGAGCCTTGGAGGAGACGCCGCAGCTGCGAGGCACCCGGGACCAGGGGGACTTCAGGGGCAAAACCCTTCCCCCCGCCGCCCCCGGGCGCAGGCAGCTCCCCGGCCACCCCCGCGCGCTGCCGCGCAGGACCCCTCGCGCGTCTCCAAGGCGCCCGCGCTGGCTCACAAGGCGGGGCGGCGCCCTCGGGCCCGCTCCGCGAGGGGGCCGGCGCGTGCGCCGCAGACGGACGGCGCCGCGCACCAATGGGCGGCCGGGGGCCGGCCGGCGGGAGGCCAATGGGCGCGGCGGGCAGAGCCGCGAGGGAGGGGGTAGGCGGCGCGCGCGCGCGCGGTAGCGGTTGACCTCCCGGTAGGCGGCGGGGCCTGAGGCGGGCGAGGGCGGGGCTTGGCCCGGGCGGGTAACGGGCTCTGCTCCCTCGCGCTAGGCCGCGCGGCCGGGCCGCGATGTTCCACCCGCTGCAGCGGAGGCCGCCCGCCAGCATCTATTCGTACTGCGCCCGCTCGGCCCACTGGGGCGCCCGGCCGGGGCCCGCGCAGGCCCTGCGGAGCCGCTACCAGTGGCTGCTGGGCTGGCTCCGGAGGGAGCCCGAGACATGCCCCGGCCCGCGGAGCCTCCTGTCCCTCCTGGCCAGCCAGTGCAGCTACGTGACCGGCCAGCGGGTGCGGCGGGCCCAGCAGACCGGGCAGCTCTACGGCGACATCTACTCGGAGCGGGCGCGCTGGAGCCTCTTCCGCTGCCTGTGGCGCCGCTTCCAGGCCCGCCACGCCGGCGCCTGCAAGCTGATGGCGGCCCTGGCCGGCGTCTTCCTGTGGGAAGAGGAGCGGATCCAGGAGGAGGAGTTGCGAAGGTGGGTCTCTCCCGGGGCCCCCCCGGGCGCCGGCTGGTCCTGGGGCTGCCCGTGGTCCGCAAAAAACTGCCCTCGGGGCAGCAGGAGCCCCGATGCTGTGGGGACAGTCCCGATTTGGGGATTTTTTTCCTATATCGGTTCCTATTCCCTCCCCACCCCGTCCCGATTTTTCCACACTTGCTGTCTGCTCACCCTACTTAGTGCAGGGCTCCCCCCACTCCCGTCCATGCACTGGACTGCCCCCCCCCCCCCGGGCCCATCTAGATATTTGCCTAGATTTACAGCAGGCGACATTGAAAGTGCTGGCGAAGTCCGCACCCAACTAAAGTTTCATACAATGACACCCCCCCCCCCCAGATGTTCTGGTTTAACTTGGATTTAAACTTGGAGAGTGGTCAGTTTAGATGAGCTATTACCAGCAGGAGAGTGAGTTTGTGTGTGTATGGGGGTGGGGGGGATGTGAGAAAACCTGGATCTATGCAGGAAATAGCCCGACTTGATTATGTAAAGAGTTGTCACTTTGGATGGGCTAGCACCAGCAGGAGAGTGAATTTGTGTGGGGGGGTGGAGGGTGAGAAAACCTGGATTTGTGCTGGAAATGGCCCACCTGTTGATCACTTTAGATAAGCTATTACCAGCAGGACAGTGGGGTGGGAGGAGGTATTGTTTCATGATCTCTGTGTGTATATAAAGTCTGCTGCAGTTTCCACGGCATACATCTGATGAAGTGAGCTGTAGCTCACGAAAGCTCATGCTCAAATAAATTGGTTAGTCTCTAAGGTGCCACAAGTACTCCTTTTCTTTATACAATGACTTGTTTCAGAGGAGCCGCCCGTGTTAGTCTGTATTCGCAAAAAGGAGAGGAGGACTTGTGGCACCTGAGAGACTAACCCATTTATTTGAGCATTAGTTAGTCTCTCGGGTGCCCCAAGTCCTCCTTTTCTTTGTACAATGACTTGTTTATATTGTTCTGTATACTATGCAGGGAAAGGTAAGTACAATGTTTCGATTCCAGTTGATTTATAGTTATATGATAAAAAATGAGAGAGAAAGTAAACCATCAGTAACAGTGCTCTGTGACCCTTTTTTTTTTTTTTGTATTTTTATATCTGATTTTGTAAGCAAGTGGGTTTTAAGTGAGGTGTAACTCGGGGGCATGCAAGATCAATCAGACTCCTGAAAGGGTGACTGTTGTCTGGAAAGGTTGAGAGCCACTGCCTTAATGCACTAGAAAATGAAGGTCATAATTCAGGGATGGATGGATGAGGTGACTGGCTAGATCCTTTCCATCTCTAGCTTCTGATCTGAAATATATCCATTCTTTAATAATAAGAGTAGGGGCAATTCATATTTTAAATATCTGATTAATGGTTTTGTGAGTGTTTGGGCCTCAGAAACATGGTTGAGGGGTGATATGTGATAAGATACTTTTGCTTGAAACTGCCTGTAGAATGAAGGATTTGAGGGAGGTACAGAGATTCAAGGCCATTCCTGTCTCAGTGCTGTCTTATCCAAATGTTTAAACTTGTTGGCATCTTTTCTTAGAGGTTAAACACATTACGTTATGCAATCTATTAAATCACAAAAACCCTTAGAAATGAAATAACCCTTGCATTTGCACCCATCCTTGGTATTTTGTCTGTTAAAGGTTAAACAAAACCCTTCATGGCCTTTTATATATTTGAAATACTGAAAATGTGGTCTTTTTCCTATTTCTTTTGAGGGGCTCAAGTGTGTATCATGAGTTCTCTTAGGACCCAGTGTTGTAAACAGGTAGGCAGGTGGCGCCTGATCCAATGCCTGGTGAAGTAATAGGAATTTTTCCATTGACTTACATGGGTGTTGGATCAGGCATACCATCAAGGCTACCCATGGGACCGTACAGTAGTTATTAACATGCTTAAATGTTTATGGGACTTGGTCTTTTAAAATTAATTGAAAGGCTGAGGTCGTGAATCTTCTAACAGACAGATCCATTCTTTTGTATCAGAAAGCTCATAAAACTTGTCTTACAACTTAAACAGAGATAAAAATTTTTTATATATTTGTGTGTGTGTGTGTGTGTATATATATATATAAAAAACTAGCTTATGGAAGTCCTTAAAGCTGTATTGGTGAGACCAGCTACCAGTCATTCTCTTCAGCTTTGTGGTATTGATCACATATTATAGTTGATACTTTTCTACTGTCTTCCTCTTCTGTCTTGTGAGTTGCTAATATCACATTGTTTTTTTTTTTACATTTAGATGCATAACCTGTTAGTTGGCCCATTAAAACTCTGTGAGATAGAGCTTTTCTACTTTTACTTCATATCTATTTTCCTTATTTTAATACTTAGTTTAATTTTGATGATTGTTGAAGGGGCTTTTCCCTTCCTTAGTTTTCAAAACATGGTTGTTTGTTTTAAAATACTATCAGGTTTGGTAGCAGGAGATAAACTGTTCCAGTAAACTCCAAAAAGTTCAACCATATTTCTAAGTAGTAGTCTTTTTTCCTTCTCTATAGAACTGACTTGATTAACTTTTTCTAGTACCAAAATTTCCTACCAGAGTGGATAAAAATTGATTATTTTTTAAATAAAAAAATTAAACAGATTTTTTTATTTAAATTTTTATTTTTAAAAATCTGTTGAAAATAACATATTTTGTATTAAATTCAGATAAGGCCCACATTTACTATACTCTCAACATTTAAATACAAAATAAATATGCTGAGTCCATGAACTTCTATCAAAACTTTGAGTTAAAAGCTGCTTTTCTCTATAAAGACAGGTTTCAGAGTAACAGCCGTGTTAATCTGTATTCGCAAAAAGAAAAGGAGTACTTGTGGCACCTTAGAGACTAACCAATTTATTTGAGCATAAGCTTTGCATCCGATGAAGTGAGCTGTAGCTCACGAAAGCTTATGCTCAAATAAATTGGTTAGTCTCTAAGGTGCCAAAAGTACTCCTTTTCTTTCTATAAAGACAGATGTTTTTCCCCCTGATTCTAACTTTTGAGGTCAAGCTATATAAATGTGGCACAGTAGGTCAGCCTAAGTAACTTAAGAGACTTTCATTTTCAAGAGACTGGGACTCCAGTGATTCACTTAGGCATATTTGAAATTTTTCCTGGGCTGACCTAAAATAATCAGTTTAATTATTCACTGATTATAGCTTATCACTCTGTTTTAATAAATGATTTATTTGTTGACATGTTTCATGTTTTGGGTACATAAATTTCTCTTATCAAAACATTTAAAGTTATTTTATTTAATAAAAATAAATGTTATATGCTGGTTTTGACCTATAGGTTTTTTGTTCGTTTTGGTTTTTTTTTTAATCCAGGGGATCATGAGAAGTTTGATTCCACAAGTTTGATACTGTATTATTCAGTACATCAAGTTCTTAATAATGCTTAATGTCTGGTTAAGTCAAACCTCCCTTTTACCATGGCCCCCTTTGTAAAGTAGATTGCTTAAACCTTGAGTTTTTTATTTCTCCAAATGAATTGGTTTATCATGGATTGCCATTGACCCAAGAGGCTTCCTGGAACTAAAACGGGAGTGTTTGGGTGAAAAAACCTTAATTTGGAGTTGTATCTCCTTTTTAACTCTACAGAGTGAGTTGAAAATGTTGTTCAAAGCTGTTTGCTTTTGTTTTAAAAAAACAAAACAAAAAACCCCCTGAATTTCTCTTAGTCCTGGTTCAGTTGCTTGAGGTCTGTGATGTCATAGTTTTACTAATTGTTGTAGATGAGGTAGACAAGACCTGAATTTTGAACTGTAGAAAGAAATGGATTTTTTTTTTTTTTTTTACATCATAAAGAAGTGCAAAAACAAGGGAGTCGTGGGCAGGGCAAAAACCCATTTCTGGAGTTCCTTTGCAGGTCACCTTTAAAGCCAGTTTCTAATACAGTAAAAATTACTAATGGCTCTACCCTTTCTTGTGGGGGAAGTAATTCTTCAATAAAATCAGCTGCATACAGACTTCCTTGTTCAGTGTTTGTTTCACTTAATTTTAACTGGGAATTGTAGGAGCTTTAAGAAGCAGATTAAAAAACTAGTTTATTTAACTGTATGATCTCTACTTCTGAAATGCTATTCAACCACCAGCGCGCGCACAGCTGGGATTTTTTCATCTGAGGCCTCAAAGCACTTGACAGTGGTATGACTGTGTCATTCCCATTTTACAGATAGCCTTCCTGCTTGATCTCAGTCTGACAAAATCAGGAATGGAACCCAGGAATCGGGGTGCATTGATTTAAATCAAATGTGATTAAAATTGCGGTTCAGCAAGAAGAAAACCTTGATTTAAATCATTTTAATCTTGTTTTGCATTTGTACATCTTAATTATTTTCCTAAAGAAAGATTGATTCTCACTGGTTGGTAACGATTAAAATGTTTTGCAACATAATATAGTCTTCACTAACTGGTTTATTAAACCAAGGAATATTATCTGTAGTAAATAAAATGAAGGAATTTTTTCTGGTCACCATGTGTCTTTCAAAATTTCAGAACTTGTAGAGCTCATCCTCATGTCTCATTGTTCATGCACTGGAAAAGGAAAACGAACTTTCTTGCTTTTTCAACTCTGTTCAGAGTTGAGAAACTGATTCCAACTAGTAATTGAACTGAACTAATTGAAGAAACTGAAATGAAGAAAACATTCCCTCTACATGTGCAGAAGCGGCTACTGCTGTCAAAAGCTGGGTTAGCACTTCAAACTCTGGTTCCAAGTGCTTAGCCAGTGACTTGCACCAGCTCAGTAGTTTGACTTTTTTAAAAACTTCAGCAGCAAACATGTGCCATTTGGATATTTTCATTTAAATGATTATAATAAATTAAGGCCTTAATATAGGTTTTCATATCATCAAATTTGATTTGAAAGTGGTTTATTATTAAAAAAAATAAATATATTGGATTTAAATTAAAATCGGATTTAAATTAAAAAAGAAAACATTTTTAATTTGGCTCCCAGCAGCCCTCTTCTAGTTCTGTGCTGAGATTGTACTTTTACTAG